GACTGGTGTGTGAGCATCAGTTCAAATTGTCTCTGAAACTCATTTCAATCTAAATGACTCTTATATGACTATAGTAGCTCCTCAAACTAGTAGTATGTCCAATAGATTGGATTGTATAATGAAGCTGAGAAAGGTGTTGGGCAACTACTGGCAAAGTCTAACTCAGCTGTAACTAGTGAAATAAGTCAAACATTGTCCTGGAGGATACAGTCATAGAAGTTAATGTCCCTATTGGTACGCTGGTGTGTTTGTCAAAGAAGTTCAAATGGTCCTGCCATTTGGTCTTTATTGGTATTCTGGTGTGTTTGAAAAAAAAAAACAATTTCTTGTAAATCTTAACAAGTGTGTGTGTGTGAGGCGGACGGGGGGGGGGGGAGAGTGAGTCTCCTACAAGGCTTGACTTTAATTCAAAAGGTTAATGAGTTCATTTGTTAACTGCTTGGCATAGTGCTGTGCTATCTGACCAATCAAGATAGACAACATGCATGTGATTTGTGGATGATAATTTATTGATAACAAGTTTCTGATGAGCGTGGTCATAGATAGGCATCAAGTAACAACTCATAAGATCTGATTTTCGTGGCATATATAACATATTTGTTGTGTTGCTTTCTGTTTCATGTTTACAGGCCTTACTTTGTTGTTGTAATGATGTGGTTTTGATATCTGTCATTGTATTCAAGAAAAGCAGCTGCAATTTGGCTGTTACAGAAGCATTTTTTTAATTGAGTAAATAAAAGTCTATACAAGCTGGACTGGTTTGATTTGTTTAGTGTCCCTGTTAAGTTGTATGTATGACTCACACATGAGGTGGCATTTTGATAAGTTTTATGTATGACTCAAACAAGAGGTGGCATTTTGATAAGTTGTATGTATGACTCACACATGAGGTGGCATTTTGATAAGTTTTATGTATGACTCAAACAAGAGGTGGCATTTTGGTCAGTTGTATATATGAGTCAAACAAGAGGTGGCATTTTGATAAGGTGTATGTATGACTCACACATGAGGTGGCATTTTGATAAGTTTTATGTATGACTCAAACAAGACGTGGCATTTTGATAAGTTTTATGTATGACTCAAACAAGAGGTGGTATTTTGGTCAGTTGTATATATGAGTCAAACAAGAGGTGGCATTTTGATAAGGTGTATGTATGACTCAGACAAGAGGTGGCATTTTGATAAGTTGTATGTATGACTCAGACATGAGGTGGCATTTTGGTAAGTTGTATGTATGACTCAAACAAGAGGTGGCATTTTGATAAGTTTTATGTATGACTCAAACAAGAGGTGGCATTTTGGTCAGTTGTATATATGAGTCAAACAAGAGGTGGCATTTTGATAAGGTGTATGTATGACTCAGACAAGAGGTGGCATTTTGATAAGTTGTATGTATGACTCAGACATGAGGTGGCATTTTGGTAAGTTGTATGTATGACTCAAACAAGAGGTGGCATTTTGGTCAGTTGTATATATGAGTCAAACAAGAGGTGGCATTTTGATAAGGTGTATGTATGAGTCAAACAAGAGGTGGCATTTTGGTCAGTTGTATATATGAGTCAAACAAGAGGTGGTATTTTGATAAGTTGTATGTATGACTCAGACAAGAGGTGGCATTTTGGTAAGTTGTATGTATGAGTCAAACAAGAGGTGGCATTTTGATAAGTTGTATGTATGACTCAGACAAGAGGTGGCATTTTGGTAAGTTGTATGTATGAGTCAAACAAGATGTGGCATTTTGGTAAGTTGTATGTATGAGTCAAACAAGAGGTGGCATTTTGATAAGTTGTATGTATGAGTCAAACAAGAGGTGGCATTTAATAAGGTGTATGTATGACTCAAGCAAGTGGTGGCATTTAATAAGTTGTGTATGACTCAAACAAGAAGTGGCATGTCATTTAGATATGTTGTTCCAGGTATGTATGACTCGAACAAGAGGTGGCATTTTGATGAGGTGTATGTATGACTCAAACATGAGGTGGCATTTAATAAGGTGTATGTATGACTCAAGCAAGTGGTGGCATTTAATAAGTTGTGTGTATGACTCAAACAAGAGGTGGCATTTAGATAAGTGGTTCCAGGTATGTATGACTCGAACAAGAGGTGGCATTTTGATAAGGTGTATGTATGACTCAAACATGAGGTGGCATTTAATAAGGTGTATGTATGACTCAAGCAAGTGGTGGCATTTAATGTGTATGTATGACTCAAGCAAGTGGTGGCATTTAATAAGGTGTATGTATGACTCAAACAAGAGGTGGCATTTTGATAAGTTGTGTGTATGACTCAAACAAGAGGTGGCATTTTGATAATTTGTATGTATGACTGAAACAAGAGGTGGCATTTTGATAAATTGTTTGTATGAGTCAAACATGAGGTGGCATTTTGATAAGTTGTATGTATGAGTCAAACCAGAGGTGGTATTTTGATAAGTTGTATGTATGACTCAAACAAGAGGTTGCATTTTGATAAGCCACTTCACCGACAGCATGGTCTTCCCCTGGTACTGAAACCGGCTTGCCTGCTGTTGTATGCTTGCCTCTGTATGCATGCTATTGTAGGATTGCTACTGCGCAGGCTTGCCATTGTAGGCTTGCTACTGTAGGCCTGCTGTTGTAGGCTTGCTAGTTTAGGCCTGCTATTGTATGGCTGACAAACTTTCTGATCAGATGGCCAAAATGTTTTCCACATACTGGCTGATAGGTACCAACAAGCTGTCTGACATCCTGATTCCCAATGTGGTCTCTTTACGTTTAACCAGCTGTTTGTATAGATCAAGTCATCTCGCATGTGAAGATTTTTTTTCTCTAGAGTTTTATTCAAGAATGAAATTTTCTTTTAATAATTGATGATTTAAAATTTCGTCATTAGAAATACAAAATAAAGGATGAATTGATATTTATATGGGCTCCTGTTGGCCTCTGTTAAATCAATCGACAAAACATTTTTGATCGTAATAGTGATGTAATAATGTCACATGATGTAAGATAACGATTTTATAAATACATGAAGTTTTATGGACACAAAGCATCACGACATCCTAGAACAGCGGTTCTCAAACTGTGTGTCGCGACCCCTTTGGGGGTCGAACGATCCCTACACAGGGGTCTCCCGAGACCATCGAAAAACACATAGGGGCCTATTTATGAAGTAGCAACGGAAATAATTTTATGGTTGGGCTCCACCACTGCATTAAAGGGTTGCAGCATTAGGGAGGTTCAGAACCACTGTCCTAGGAGGACCCATCGTATAACTTAACAAAAATAAAGACCCTTATAACATTCACACACAAATTCTTAAAGTTTTCAAAAACTTCTCCTCCATCATCCCGCCTCCCTTCCTTATATCCCCCCCCCCTCTCTATCTCTCTCACATGCATTCACACAATACTTTTTGTTGATGTTTTATCCCAAGGTTAATGATACCCCTTGAATTGTTGTATTACATATACGATGTGTATAACACCTGGCTTGTAAACACCTGAAGTTGACAGTGTTTTTTTTTTTAAACATGAAAAGATCAAATTATTGAAATGCGATTTGTAAAAGCTGCCGGCGAACATAAGACACCAGATACCAATTTTTGAAACATTAAAAAGAAACAGTATACAGTAGAGACCGACCGAATTTCGGTTTCGGCGCCGAAAGTGGCCATTTTATCACTTTCGGCCAAGTTTCGGTTTCGGCCGAAACTGAAAAGTTAATTTTCGGCTTAATTTC